AGATTCATAAACATTACGGAAACGCAAGAGATATAGAATGGGGTCTAAAAGGGGGCCAAATATTTATGCTTCAGTCGAGACCCGTAACTAATTTAGACAATTCTTACACCGATTACGAGATTATGCATGAATTGGATTCTTCACATCCATCTGAGTTTGAGATCTACTCGCGGGCCCATTGGGGCGAAACATTTCCCGGAGCCTCGTCCTGGATCTGTATGCAGTGGTTTTGGGCCAATAAACCTTATTTCTTCGTAAGATTACATTAATTATTAAACTGAATATAAATTGTAAAATAAATATTTATCAATAATATTTGTCTATTTATAGCGTCAGGATATACTAAACGGTACGGCAACTGATGAGGATTACAATCCGTTCACTGAAGTAATGGGTATTCAATACAATCAAGTGATGTTTGATCTACAGGGTGTAAGTCAACTCGATTAGCAGTAGTGATTAACTATTAACTATAATTACAATGTTTTGTGCAGGGTATATTTAAAATGTTTGCGGGTTATCCGGACTCAAAACGTGCAGTGACTGCGGTATTAGCAAAGTTTGGACATCACATCGACGACAAGGATGTCCTCCAATTGTTTCGGAGGCAGGGATTGGAAGCCAAAAAGCCATCGTTTATGGGATACGTCCGGTTGTTTCGCTTTGTAATACATTCCCTACTCTTTGGATCGAAAAACTTGATTAAAACAAAAGAGGAGATAATCGAGAAGAATGGATACGATTTGGTCGACATTTTGAAACAAAAATCTAAAAGTAAAGAGATATTCACTACAATTTTGGACAATCAGTACTTTATATTTAACAATGCGTTGAAAAATCACGGCCCGATTGGCATTGGATTAGCGTTTAATATTAATATTTTGAAGGCAATTCTTAAAACATCAACTGGTAATCTAGTATTAAATAGTTTTACATTTTATAACATAATTAATTATAAATACTCACTTTGATCTAGATAATAATAACGACGTTGAGAATGATTATAATCTAATGGTATCGTCGGCTACGGATGTAATCAGCGCTGAAGTGCCAAAAATATTGGCTGAAATCGCAAAGTCTATTAAAGATAAACAATGGTTCAGTCAATTGAGTGATGAGGAGGCGCATCAAGTGTTGACCACTGGAAGCGATGAGTCCTCACAAAAGTTTAGATACTTTATTGAAAGACACGGACACAGAGGGTATCGGGAATTGGATCCCATGTATAAGCCATGGAAAGGCAATCCAATGCCTTGTATTAAAACTATTAAAGTATATATAGTTATAAAATATCTTTTTCTGTTATTATAAATATTTGCTTTAATTATAGACATTATTAACGGGAAATGAATCACAATTTGGAGCAAAAAGTGAAAAGTCTGTCGAAGAAGTTATCAACGAATTAAAGACACCGTTGAGTCCTTTAAAAAAGTTACTAATTAAACATTTATTGCTTCCGTGGACTCGAAGAGGGATTGGATATCGAGAGCTCTCCAAGTATTGCATGATTTGGATGAATAACAAATGTAACGAAGGTTTTAGATATTTGGCTCAACACATGACTAACGAAGGACTCATACCATCGGTGGACACATTCTTCTACTTGACTATCACTGAAGTGGAAGCGCTATGTAATGGACAAAGGGATCCATTGATATTCTCGAGAGTAAGACAACGGCGAAGACTTTACCCTCGAATGGATAAATACAAGTTCGAAGAGTTTATTAAAGGACCCGAAATGAAACCCAGAAATGTATGCAATTGTAAACATTTTTAAATTATAAGTTTTAATTGATTTACTGTTTTATAGTTTGAGGACCGGATTATACCTCCAGTCCTGACCTCAGGTATGGTTCAAATGACGGGAACACCAGTTAGTAATGGATCCGTAAAAGCGAGGGTTTGTGTGTCTGAAGACATTACAGAAGCTGACAATATTCAGGTAATTATTATTATAATTAATATTAATTATGAAATGTGTGATAACATGTGTTTCTGTGTTGATAGCCGGGAGATATTCTGATCACGTACTCGACGGACATCGGTTGGAGTCCATACTTCCCATTACTTTCGGGTATAATCACAGAAATCGGTGGAACGATATCTCACGGGGCAGTCATTGCCCGCGAATACGGGATCCCGAGTCTGATAGCAGTGGAGGGCGCGTGTCGTGCCTTCAGGACCGGCGATATCTGTCTATTGGACACACAGTCGCAGACCATCACTAAAGTTGATTGAATTTATTATAGGATTAGTTTACTTGTAAATTAAAACAAAGCATATTTGTAATAAATGTATAATTAAATTATTTAGTTATAAGTTATAATAATTATAGATAATAATTTACCATATAGTGTTTGTAAACAATGTTTTGAATAATACTGTATTTAATATTTTCAATAAACCGATTAATAAAAACTTAATATATTTGTTATCTAAACAGTAATTTATTTTAATTTCAATGGTGTAACAAAATTTATAATTATATTTATTTGATAAAAACAATAATTTTATTAATAAGTAATAACAGTAAAATTATATCAAATAAACACTAGTTTATTATTAAACAAATAATAAAATAAATTATAAATATATAAAAATAAATTTCTTAAAATATTAACAATTATAATATTCTTATGTATTATTTTTACTCTATTTTAGTGATGGTCTGTGTCTTAGTGTCCAACAGACAGATATCGCCGGTCCTGAAGGCACGACACGCGCCCTCCACTGCTATCAGACTCGGGATCCCGTATTCGCGGGCAATGACTGCCCCGTGAGATATCGTTCCACCGATTTCTGTGATTATACCCGAAAGTAATGGGAAGTATGGACTCCAACCGATGTCCGTCGAGTACGTGATCAGAATATCTCCCGGCTATTCATCACAGCAGACATATTGTAATACATTTATTAAAATTAATTATATTTAATAATTACCTGAATATTGTCAGCTTCTGTAATGTCTTCAGACACACAAACCCTCGCTTTTACGAATCCGTTACTAACAGGCGTTCCCTTCATCTGAACCATATCTGAGCTCAAAACTGGAGGAATAATCCGGTCCTCAAACTATTAACACAAATGAAATATAATTAAAAACAAAATACAAAAAATGACAAATGAATCCTACATTTCTGGGTTTCATTTCGGGTCCTTTAATAAACTCTTCGAACTTGTATTTATCCATTTGAGGGTAAAGTCTTCGCCGTTGTCTAACTCTTGTGAGTATCAGTGGATCCCTATCTCCACTACAGAGAGCCTCGACTTCATTGACAGTGAGATAGAAGAAAGAATCGGCGGATGGGATCAGACCTTCTCTAACCATTTGTTTCGACAATAGTCTAAAACATTCTCTGAATCTATTGTTGACCCAAATTATGAAATACTTTGATAGTTCTCGATATCCGACTCCACGTCTACTCCACGGAAGTAATACTTTTCGTATCAATAATTTCTTAATGAATGAAAGCGGAGTCTTGAGCTCTTCCATCACTTGATCCACAGATTTGGCTACTTTTGGCTCTAATTGTGATTCATTTCCCAATAATAAACCCTAAATTAGTTTAAATAGAATATTATTAATATTAATTTAATAAATCAATAATTTTAAATATTTTTTACTTTAATTGTTTTGACACAAGGAATTGGATTTTCTTTCCACGTGTGATACATGGGATCAAATTCTCGATACCCTCTGTGTCCGTGTCTATCGAGAAAGTATCTAAACTTTTGTGAGGACTCATCGCTTCCCGTTTGCAGCACTTGAAGCGCCTCCTCATCACTCAATTGTCGGAACCATTGCTTATCTCTAATAGACTTTGCGATTTCACGCAAACTGTTGGGCACTTCAGCGCTGATCACATCATTACACGACGATACCATTAAATTATAATCTGAATCCATATCTGGATTATTAGCTAAAAAATTTAAGTTAAAAGTTAAAACATGTTATAAAAGATATAACGTTATTTGTGCTGAAATTTCCAGATAGTACTCACGTAAAGCGCTCTCCAAAACAGACTTCAAGACCATATTCTTAAGCGTTGCGCTCATAGAGACGGGTCCGTGAAATCGGGTGTCTTTCGAGATATCAAAGAATTTGTCGGATAATGCTTTCCAAATGTCTTTCGCAGTGGACAGGCGTTGCAATTCGTGGACAACACTGTGTTTCTTATTGTCCATCATTTGTGTCTTCAATTTAATAAGTTTTGTTGGACTAAAGAGTACGGAATCGATGGCCATAAACACCATTTTGAGTTTCCCATAAAGCGATGACTTTTTCTTCGCTAATCGTTTTTCTTTGAATAACTGGAGGACATCCTTGTCGTCGATGTGATGGCCAAACATTGATAATACCATTTCTAGGGACCCTTTGGTCGTCGGGTAGTCATAAAAAAAGTCAAAACCGCCCTAAATATGACCCAAAATATGACAATTAATAAAAATCTAATTATTAAGATCTACAGTTAAACCTCCCGATCTCGAACGGGTCGGGACACAAATGTTTGTTCGAGTTTTAGAGGTTTTCGAGTTATAGAAAGTTCGAGTTACGGAAAAATATTGAATTATTTACAAAAAAGTTCGAGTTATAGAGAATTCTGACAATGTTGTGCTGCTATGCATCATTTTATGAATACAATTGTTGAAATTAAAATTAATAAGATTTAAAATTACATTTTATGAAAAAATTAGATAATAAATTGTCACTTTTAGATCATAAACATTTGTATAAAGTGTACATATTTTACAGTTCAGTAAACAATTCGAGTAGTGGAGGTTCAGTAAAAGGTATTGGGTCTGTGAAAATACTTTCCGTTTCGAAATACAGAGGTTCGAGTTGTAGAGGTTTTCTATAATGGGGTGTCTATGAGAGTGAATCGGGACTTTAAAAATAGTTCGAGTTATAGAGGATTTCGAGTTACAGAGGGTTCGAGATATGGAATATTAACTGTATATGCAAAACTTACACTGGTCAAATTGAACATCAATTGGTTGTATTCAATGCCCATTATTTCGAAATATGGATTATAATCTTCTTCCTCGATTATCCCTTGTTGTATATCTTGACGCTATAATTGTTAATAATAACTTAATTTGTTGTTTGGCTAGATCATATTATAAACATACTGAAAATCCACCACGGTTACCCCAAAACCATTGCAATACAATCCAAGACGAGGCTCCGGGAAAGTTTTCACCCCAATGGGTTCGGCTACAGATCTCAAACTCAGAGGGATGTGAAGAATCCAATTCATGCATAATCTCGTAATCGGTGTAAGAATTGTCTAAATTAGTTACGGGTCTCGACTGAAGCATAAATATTTGGCCCC